ATTGCCGCATGACTCTAGAGTGTTCGGGTTTCGCTTGAAGAAAGGGTAGCAACCCTACTAACTCCTCCAGACTGACCATCCACCTATCAAGACATTGTGATATTTGTATAACTCCTTGCATCAGTGAGGAGTGAGGACTCTTGAGAAGAGTACTGAGGCCGGGATCTGGGATGTTTGCATGGAAGCTATATACAGCACCCTGCCGGCCCCTCCCACCAGCCAGGATTTGATTACATAGAGAAGCACAGAGAGCCATTGATGACAATGGGTCTGGATCTAAAATAAGGTGTATATAAAGAAAACAGGTTTTATTTAAAAATGGGATCTGCAGTGACATCAGGTGGGCAAAATAAGAACCTTCCCTTTCCCTTTTCCTTTCCTTTCCTCTCCTTCCCTTCCTCCTGTATCAGTGGCATAACTAGTGACCTCAGGGCCCCGATGCAAGAATCCATGAAGGCCCCCACAAGGAAGAAAACAAATTAGATTTTTTTTTTTTTTTTAAATTAGACAAGGAAAAAGAAAACACTCTCCTCTTTTATGTCCCCAGCTCCCCATTATCTCCCCCTTCATGTCCCCAGCTTTCCGCTCCCGGACCCCATGTCACCTTCCTTCATACTTCCAGCTCCCTGTCTCCCCCTTCGTGTTCGCAGCAGCTCTATTCAGCACTGGGCAGCAGTTCTGTGTGATGAGGGGGCGGGGATTACACCGCTCCCACTCATTGGCTGCTGCCCGGCTGGATGATGCTTCACGCTGGGCCCGGAACAAGGTGAGGGGAGCAGCGTGAAGTATGTAGGGCCCAGGACAGGAGGAAGAGGTCCCGGGACTGGTGATCAGCGGTCACCAGGGGCCCCTTCCTCCTGTCCTGGGCCCCCTCCAAGTGGCGGAACTCCAGGGCCCGGCCGCGACCTCTGCGACCCTGGTAGTTCCGCCAGGTAGTTCCGCCACTATCCTGTATGGTTACTGTCTCCCCCCGCCCAAACTGTTCACTAACCAGCGACAGGGGCCTTTTTATGTCCTTTTACATTTATTTGATTAGGGAGAGTTTCATGTGTCAGTTACATAAGATAAACACGCAGCAGCTTGGCAAATCAGCTAAAATAATATTTCTAAACATGACATGTGGCATCGCCAAACTACAAAGCCCTGAGCATGTCACTTTCATTAATATTTAAGAAGGAATGGAAATCTGGCATATTTTCACTGCTGCGATGCCCTCACCAGTACACAAGCCTCCTATTACTATCTTCATTTGTGTCATGCTGCATAATCGGTATCGGCCTGAATAGACTCAGAGGTCTTTTATGAATTAAAGGAAAGTATTTTTATTTCAGTCCCAGCAAAGCAGCAGCATGTTACATTGTTTCTTGATTTCAGGTCTTGATGACATTTTTTTATTAAATTAAACACATATATGTACTTTATCATATATTAGAGGAGTTGTAAAGTCCCAGCATATACCATCCTGTTATAACATCAGCATTGTAATAGGAATACATACTAGAGTTGTTTCTGATAATACAATCAAAGCTTACTTGAAAAAAAATCCCTTTTATGTAGTGAGTGCTGCCTTCTGTCTGCCCATCACTTCCAACAACTTCCTGGAATCCCAGTGTGCTTTGCGTTTCTTTCCCTGCTGCTTGATGTTATGAAATCTCTATTTCTCAAGACTACATATCCCATCATGCATTGCTTTCAGCAAGCAATGATAATGTTACATTGTTCAGATGTTGATTTGTAGTTCAGAAGGCAGGCTCTGTAAGAGTTGGGACACAAGGAAGTGCATATTCACAGGGCTGAGTAAAATTGTGTCAGTGCCTTGATGAAGTACATCCTATGGGCCAGACCTGTAGCTAGCTCCTTTTGCTCCCGAGACAAGAACAGAAAATTGGGCTACCCCCCAACAGGCGTGTGACATCACCCAAGGTGCCATATGACGTCATGCGCCCCGCCCCGACATTTGCCTTTTGAAATAAAAAAGAAATTGAGGACACAGAGTCCTCAAGCTCCTTTTTTTTTTCTGCAGCCTCTGTTCTAAATTAATGGAAAACTCAGTACAGAGGCTTCACATTCATTTACAAACTGGTGATAGTAAATATTTTACTATCATCCAGTTATGAATGGGTAGAGTGCTACTACCCATTCAGAAATTCAAGAATGAATGGGAAGTGATGTAAAGCACTTCCTGTTCATTCATAACTGGGGACACATAGTACTGTTTACACATTCTCTGCTCTTCATCCTGAGCCGCTCGGCCACGCACAGAGGGGCGGCACAGCCTGCAGCTTCTCAGATGCGCACTGCTCTCCTCCACCTGTATGGGCAGAGGCAATGGGGATTCGGGGAGAAATTAAGCAGAAGGGAGCGCTGACTCCGCCGGCTTTCAGATCCTGGTC